AAGACTGGATCTTGGGTTTGCCATCATCAATGGAGTACAATTAAAGTAAAAGCTCATTTGAATTTATTGCTTAAATTAAATGGGCATTGGTGCTTACCTGACACGCCCTTTCTCGTCGAGCTGCGTAGAGCATCCAGAGTGGGAGGTGCTCCAGACTCCGCTCTTACAGGCTGAGCTATAATTGAGGAACGCTCCTCCTCCTCCACGTGACACCTCCGTAGCGTTCCCCAGTTTTACGGATGAGAAGACAAGCGACTATCCTCTCCTCTTAACTATTGTAGCAACTCACAACTACTTAACTGTTTAAATCATTGGCCGAAACAGGATTCCCCACCAGACGGACAATTTAGGGTGGGGCTGGATGCTCTATGCAGCTCAACGAGAAAGGGCGTGTCAGGTAAGCACCAACGCCCATTCTCCATAGAGCTGCTGCGAGCATCCAGAGTGGGACATACCAAAGCATGGCCTGTCCTACGGGAGGGACTCCGTCTGGGTCGGAATATCCTCTGGTTCTCTTGCCACTTGTTGAAGGACTCGCCTGCCAAAGGACGCTTCTGCTGAAGCGAATACATCGATTTTATAATGACGAATAAAAGGTGACAGAGACGCCCAGGTAGCCGCTCGACAGATATCATTTATCGAAGCCTGGGTAGCCCAGGCTGCCGAGGTAGCCGCACTCCTTGTAGAATGTGCGGTTATCCCACTGGGAACAGGAAGCGCCTGAGTTAAATAGGCCTTGGAGATTGTAGCTCTGATCCAACGGCCTACAGTAGACAGGGATACTTTGAAACCCAGCGTCTTTGGTTGGAATGACAGGAACAGTGATTCTGACTTCCTGAAAGGATGGGTGCGACTGATGTAAATACGAAGCACCCGTCTGACATCGAGGGTATGCCACTGCCTTTCCCTTTCTCAAGAAGGCTTGGGGCAAAAGTTAGGAAGAATGAGTTCCTGTGATCTGTGAAAGGCTGAGTTAACCTTGGGTAGGAAGGAAGGATCTGGTCGCAGGACCACTCGATCAGCGTGGAAAACGCAAAGATCCTTTCTAACGGACAGAGCTGCTATTTCAGATATCCGTCGTGCAGATGTAATTGCTACGAGAAACACCACCTTGAATGTAAGGAATTGGAGTGATGCTTCCCTTAAAGGTTCGAAAGGAGGTTTAGTCAGTGCCGTGAGTACCCTTGTTAAGGTCCCAGGTTGGGTATCTGTGTATTACTGGAGGATGTAAATTGGTGGCCCCTCTAAGGAATGCTCGAATATGAGAGTGGTGTGAAAGTGGGTCAGAGGAGTTGCCAGAAATAACAGTTGATAAGGCTGCCACTTGCCTTCTCAAAGTATTGGGGGATAGGCCCCTGTCCAGTCCTTCTTGCAAGAAGGCCAAAATTTGAGCCATTGATGGGGAGAGCGGATTAATGTGTGATTTGTGGCACCATTTGCAGAAAATGCTCCAGGTAGCATTATATATCCTGATGGTTGAAGGCCGTCTCGCTGCCAGGATGGTTCCAATGACCTGATTGGAGAGACCCTCCTTTCTTAAGCGCTCCCGCTCAAACTCCAGACGGCTAACTGCAGCCACTGAGGATTTGGATGCTGAAGAGGTCCCTGGGATAGCGAGATCCTGTCCAGTGGGATCCGCCAGGGAGGGGACACTGACAGGTTGCGAAGGTCGGCAAACCACGGTCTCCTGGGCCAGTACAGGGCAACCAGAAGAAGTTCCGCCCTCTCGTGAATCAGCCTTTGGATCACTTTGGGGATTAACGGCAGTGGGGGAAATGCGTATAAGAGCCCTGTGGGCCAGGGGCAGCGTAGGGCGTCGTGTTTCTCAGCCCCCTTGGTGGGGTACCTCGAGAAGAATCTCGGTATCTGGGCGTTGAGCAGTGACGCGAATAGGTCCACTAGCGGGTGGCCGAATATCACTGAGGCCTCCCTGAACAGGGAGGGATGTAGGTGCCATTCTGCCTGGTCTAAGGTGGCCCTGCTCAACCAGTCTGCCCGAACATTTGAGGCCCCCGAGATGTAATCTGCCCTGATGGATAAAAGGTTGGTCTCCGCCCAGCGACAGAGATGCTCGGCCTCCCTCATGAGATGGATGGAATGTGTGCCCCCCTGCCAGTTGATATGAGCCTTGGTCGTAATGTTGTCCATCAGGACCAGTACGTGGCGGCCGTGCACTTGAGGAAGGAAGGTGCGTAGGGCCAGGTATACCGTGTGAAGCTCCAGCCAGTTTATACTGCACCGTTGCTCGGCTGCTGACCGGGTGCCCTGAGCTGAGAGAGAATGGATGTGGGCTCCCCATCCGGATAGGCTGGCGTCTGTTGTGAGGGTGACCCTTTGGGGTTCCTTGAAGAGATGTCCCTTGTTGATAGCGGGTCTGGTCCACCAAAGAAGCGATGCGAGAACTCTTGGGGGAACCTTCACCACGGCTCTTGAATTGCCCCTTCCGGAACGCTGATATGGCAGGAGGAACCACTGCAGAGATCTGGTATGCAAACGGGCCCAGGGAATAATGGATATGCATGAGACCAATTTGCCAAGTAATTTAGATAAGTCCAGTAATGATGCCTTTCTCGCTCGTCTGATCACCCTGACCAATTTTTGAATGCTGAGGAATCTTTCAGGGGAAAGGAAGACCCTTTCTTTAACTGAGTCAATCACTGTTCCTAAGTGTGCAATTCGGGTGGAAGGAGAAAGCTGACTCTTCTCCCAATTTACTAGAAGGCCATGGGCCTGAAGAACTGAGAGAGTAGTTCTGGTGTCCCTTACGGCTTGGCCTTTGGAAGGAGAGAGGATGAGAATGTCATCCAGGTAACAGTGAATACGGATGGGGAAATTTCTAAGGTGGGCCGCTAGGGCTGCCAGGACCTTGGTAAAGGTCCTCGGGGCTGAGGCTAGGCCAAAGGGAAGAGCCACATACTGGAAATGATGACCGAAGAAATTTGACAAAGGAGGGGTGAATGGGGATGTGGAGATATGCTTCTGAGAGGTCAATGGAAGTGAGCCAATCTCCCTTTCTGATGCCCTGAAGAATAGACTGAAGGGTATGCATCTTAAACTTATGCCGGACAATGTAGCGATTAAGCCTCTTCAAGTCTAGAATGGGTCTCCAACCTCCGGAGTGCTTTGGAACTATGAAGAGGTGAGAGTAAAACCCCCTTCCCCGCTGGGAAGATGGGACGGGCTGAATGGCCCTGATTTCGGTGAGGTGCTTGATAGCGGCTTCTATTAGAGCCTGCTTGGTGCGGTCCTTGGAAAGAGGGGAAAACATGGAATGCTCTGGGGGGGGGGGGGGGTTTGGAACTCAAGGGATAGACCGAATCTGATGGTGTCCCTAACCCAAACATCAGAAGTGGATGATTCCCATCAGCAAAATATTTAATGTGCCCGCCAATGGGATAGGGGGTTAGGGACTTATCTGGGGCGCCGGGACGGCTTACCTCCTGTGCCCCGGAAAGGTCTCCTGTAGTTGGCCCCTCTCCTATTCCTGTCCCCGGTGTCGGAGCGGTCCTGGTAGGCCGGTTGAAAGGACGGGGTTCTCTGGAACCTGGGGGGGAAGGGTATCTGATAGGGGATACGAAAGGAACCCCTTCGAAAGGGCTGGGACACTCTGGGCTCTGGCCTGCGAAAAACAGATGGAAGATATTTCTTTTTATTTCGGCTTTCCATCAGCAAGGGTTCCAGGGCCGGACCAAATAGTTTGCCTCCCGAAAGGGGAGCCGAAGCCAATTTAGATTTGTTCTTGATGTCTGCTTGCCAGTGTTTAAGCCAGAGCAGACGACGGCTGTAACGTGTGAAGAGTTAGCCTGGGAGGAAAACTTAACGGAATGGAAGGTGGCATCGGATGCTAATTCTGCTGCAGCCGTAAGTTTGGCAATATCCTGGTGTGCCCTGGTGTTAGATGGGGGGACATGCTGTTTCAACTGACAGAGCCATCTAATAGAGGATCGAGTAAAAAAGGATGCGGCCGTGGCTGATCGAATGGCCCAAGCATCGGATAGATGTGCCCGGCGTAGCGCCATCTCGGCCCGCTTGTCCTCTGGCTTCAGTGCTTCCAAAGCGTCGGTTGGAGTGGAGGATGACGCTAACCCCACTATGGGATCATCAACCTCGGGAATGTCTAATAAGGAGGAGACCGCCGCATGGCGAAAAACTCCTCCGGCTGTGGGGGGGGGGGGGGGGGGGGGGGGGTGTTGAACCCAACTGCTTTGCTACCAAGTCGGAGAAAATGGGTGGAGTGGAAATAACTTCCACTTCCACGACCGGTTGTTTGAAAATAGAATCCTCTGGATCTCCAGAGGCGACTGGGGAGGTATCGGAGGGTAACTGAGATATCAGACCCAAAATATTTTTCGCCTTGAACAACAAGGACTTGAACAGATGGGGTTTAAACAGGCCTACAAAGGCGGGCTGGTCAGACGCAATACCCTCGTCCTCTGACATCTCTTCTTCCATAGGTTCCATCTCTAAGAGGGGTTCAGAATAGTGTAGGGACCCCCTATCCGATTCTTCCTCTTCCCTGAAGGGTTCTAGACCCATTTCCTCTTCCTCCTCCTCCTCTCCTTCTGGAAAGGGGATCTCCCTCTGGGGAAGTACCTGACCATGGTGAGGTTCCGGTCTGGGAAGGGATCTGCCAGAAGCTGATTCGACATTGGGAACCATCGCTGGAAGGCCTGGCCTGGCCATTTGTTGGAGACCCTCGGCGATCCCCTGGCGGATGGCTAGCTGCATCCATTCTCTAACCCTGTCCGGAATAGGGTCTGCGGATGGTTCCTCTGGTCGCAGACCAGCCGCGGTCGGTGTGAAAGTAGCCTCAGGTGTTCGGATGGCTTGGAGGCTCCGAGCGGGTGAACTGCGCCTGGAAAGAGAAAACTGGTCTGGCAGAGAAGGAGGATGAGTAGAGGCAGAAGGGGTGGGAACAGGGGGTGCCGGGGGCACAGATTGTGAGTCCCTTGAACGTTTGTCAAATTCCTTCTCCAAGGCTTTATGGCGCCTTTGAGAAGCCTTGGATGCCTCCCTGGTCTGTCTGCGCAAATGGTGTGTCTTTGACTTGGCCTTCAAGGAAGGTCCTCTGGGATTGTCCTCTGCCATAATAACAGCAAACAAACACAGGCTGATAATGCTCAATGAGGCGGTTGGCGCGCCTAGGAGTTCGACCTACAACAAAGGCCGGATAACCTATAGTTGAACCTTGTCCCCCTTTTGGAATTTTTTTTTATTATTATTATTATATTATATTTTAATTATATTAAAAATATTATTTATTTATTTTTGATAGGGATGAGACCAATTAAGGTCTAGCAAAACCGTAGCACTGTGGGGTTATGCCGAATTGAAACAAAAATAGGAAAAAGGGTAAATCAAGATAACCAATGAGCCAAATGAACGCTGAGGCCGGAAAAGAACAGAAAAGAAACAGAAAAAAATGGGCCTCCTGAGGCAGCCTCCCAATCCAATGGGAGGAACTACTTGTGCCTTACAACCCTGCCTCTGAGCAGGCTGCGGGAATAGCCAACAACACTAACAAAAAGGTAACAGGGCTCGGAGCCACAATACCTTCTTAATAACCAGGCTCTAAGCAGGCCTCCCGGTCCTGCTATGGGCCTCTAAAGTCACCGCAGCAACAACAATAATGAACCAAAATGGCGGGCGGCCACGAGGCGCACCCAAAATGGCGGCCAGGACCGGCGCGAAGCTCAGAAGCAGAAACAACCCCTCGTGTAAGGAAAAAAACGGCTTAAAGGAACCAAAAAGGAAAAAGGCGAGGGGCAGAAGGGAGGCAAGCTCACCTTCTAGACAAGGCGTTCTTGGGGGGAAGGATCAACAAAAGCGCCACGAATAGCACTATAAGAAGCCGCTGCATAAGAGCAGGGACGGCTTAAAACGGCGGCAGGGAGCAGGAAGGGGGGGCCCGAAAGGCTGTTAAAACCCCCTTTTTCCTCCCCGAGGGGCGAAAAAACGCTCCTCTTAGACTGTTAAGACCAACCAGTAGCGCAGGGACCAAGGAGAAGGAATAGAAATCAAACCTGAATTAATTGTAATGTTTTTTCCTGAATCGGCCAAGGAAGAGCTGCTAAATGCTGCCTGTCTCTTGCGAGGCTGAGCTAAAACTGGGGAACGCTACGGAGGTGTCACGTGGAGGAGGAGCATTCCTCAATTATAGCTCAGCCTGTAAGAGACAGGCAGCATTTAGCAGCTCTTCCTTGGCCGATTCAGGAAAAAACATTACAATTAATTCAGGTTTGATTTCTCAGAGTGGGAGCATCTCCCACTCTGGATGCTCGCAGCAGCTCTACGGAGAATCATAGTTACCCAGGGTCCCTAACCCCATTAATGAAGTATGTAAAGCTATGCTCTTGTATGGAGCAGAAGTTTGGGGTCTATATTCTACTATAGTATTAGAACAAACACAGTCCCACTACTTGAGATGTATTTTGGGTGTAGATCTAAGAACATTTGCTGCAGCAATTAAGAGCTGAATTGGGAATTTATACAATTAATGCACTACCTAAAATCAGAACATATAAATACTGGCACATAATCAACGAAATGGAGACTGATAGACTCCCCAAGTTATGTTTATTAGAGCACATACAATCACAACCACAAACCTCCTGGATCACTAAATAAATTTTGTAAGAAGCTGTGGTCTTCCTGTCTCTTGTGTAACAGGAAAACAATTTTAAAAAAGAGCAAAGAAGCAAGGATATAGAAGCACAAAATGATATAGCTATCTTTAGTAGGTGGGTAACTTGAAATGGCTAAGCAAATACATACATACTTTTCAAATAGACAGCTATTTGAAGTTACATCTGCCAAAACATCTGAGGAAGATATTTATGTGAGTGAGATTCAAGCATTTGACACAATGGTCATATATGGGAGATTCCATTCTATACCCTATAATGCAGGGGTGTCAAACTGGATTTCTTTGAGGGCTGGATCAGCATTGTAGTTTCCCTCTGTGGGCCGGTGGCGGCAGTGGGGGGGGGGGGGTGAGATGGATGCTTCCTGCAGCAAACTACTGACCAAAATGGGGCACGGAGGGACATTTTCACTCTCCATGGCCTCCTGCAGCACTCTGCTGGCCGAAAGGGCTGTTCTTCTGGGCCCATTTTTGGCCTGTTTTTCGGGCTATTTTTTTGGCGTGTTTTGGCCCATTTTCAAGTCATTTTTGACCAGCAGAGTGCTGCATGTAGGGTAAAAACGAGGCACAGGAGGGTTGCATGCAGCCCGTTTTAGCCACCAGAGGCACTGCGGGCCAGTCCCTTCATATTTCCAGGCCAGCCCATTAAGTTTGACACCCCTGCTATAAAGGATGTCTCTGCATTTGTGGAGTGGCAGAGGTAGAAGACCTGGCTCCCATCCTATTTGATTGTTGCTTGTATAAGAGGGTGAGAGACAGGTTTCTTGGTCCATGTACTAAACAAATGACCCATTGGGAATCCCATAATAAAACAACATGCTTTATGTGTGGTCAGAATTTGACAAAATTTAATATGGCACAGAACTTGAGCAAAATGGTTTGGCTGAGCTTGGCATATGTGAGACTGATTGGGGTAGATTTTATTTTATTTTATTTACCTATATATTACATTGTATTTTATTCCAAACTCATTTTAAATTGTTTTATCAGATTTTAGTAATTTGTGAATTCTGAACTTTGATACAGCATAGTAAAGAAATGGTTATAGGCACATCACACAGCTGATGATGCTCATGTTAAACAAAAGAAAACTGTAACTGAGGATGCTAATAAAAAAGCAATTTGGTGGTATCTTAAATAAGTTTTATTGTTTTTGTAAAGTTTTGCTATATAATAGTTTTTGATTAATATTTTAAAATGTTGTAACAATATAGTTTTGTTTACCTTTATTATTTAAGCATTAAAGGCATGGCATAATAAATTACCTTTTCTCTTGGTATATCTTTTTTTTTTTATACTTAAAGTCACTAGGGCAAAGAAGTGATGTTGAGTTGGCCATGCCCAGCCGGTCACGTGATCACCAAACCACACCTGGCTGGTCACATGACCACCAAGCTACACCTACCCAGTCACATGACCACTAAGCCACTTCCACAAATTAGGCCACGCTCACAGAACCAGTTGTTAAGAAATTTGAATCCCACCCTTCCTTGATGTTATTCGTATAAGGGATCTCTAATGAGCTTCATGGCCATGTGGAGAATTTGAATTCAGTTTCGTAAGAATCCATCCAATATATCATTCTATCTTTATTTATAATGCATTGTTTACAGGTGAAGGAAATTAAGGAACTAAAATATTCTTGAAGCTAATCAAAAGACAGTGAAATCAAAACACTCAATGAACGTTTTTTTCAAGTTTTACTAAGCAGTAGTAGTATGCTACACCAAATTCCTATTATTATCAGTCAACCCTTAAGTTCACATATTACCTATTCCCATGATGGTGAACCTATGGCACACGTGCCAGATGTAGCATGCACAGCCCCCTCTGTGGGCACACACATCGTCGCCCCAGTCCAGCTCCAATCGCATTTCTCCATCACGTTTCACTCAATCATTCCAACTTCTCACGGAAGAAAGATCTCACCAAGTTGAAATTGATTGAGTGAAGTTTTTCACTTGCGTGCTTCCCAATAGGTTAGGGGCCCTGTCCTCCTCTTGAAGCCCATTATGACACACAGCCACAATGCGACCCATGTGGCTCTTTCACCCCTCTGCTGCAGCTCCCTGTGGCCTGTCACGGCGATGGCCAGAGCTTTAGTTCAGGAGGAAAGCGCCCCTGTACTTGCTTTGCACGGCAACAGGATTCTGCCTTCATTGTGGAATTTGCTGTTGCTGCCAGCAAAGAGGTCTGGGAGAGAATGGCAGGGGAAGATCTTGCGGGGTTAGGGCATCCTCCAAGGCTGGCTTTCCTCCTCCCTTGTCAGCGGGGCCAAGAGAAAGAAGGGGGTGGATGCCCCCCTTTCCCAATTCCTATTGGGAATTATAGAAGATATAGTAAAGGGTTGGTATATTTGATGTTGCATGTTATAACTGCTACAAGATTGGTCTATGCCTAAAATTGGAAAAATGGCAATATCCCCTCTGAAAATGAGATAATAAAATACTGGTCTGTGCAGAGATGGCCAGACTGACATTAGAAATTAAAGATAAGGACGAGACAGAATAATATAAAGTTTGGAATAAAACGTATCAATGGTTGGATTTGTGTGTGTGTGGGGGGGGGGGAGTCAGAACAGAAAACTTTGAGGTTTTACAAGATTGAAGGTGGAAGATATATAGATAAAGACATTGAAGTATAGTTGACAAAATGACTGTATAAAAAGAAACGGAGTTTATGTTGTAAATGTAAACATAAATGTGTTAACAACACCAATTTAGTAATGTATGATGAGTAGGAAACTATCTGTTTTATGTAGTTTTATGTTATAGTATGTATGTATGGCAAAGACAAATGCCAGGAAAGTCACACTGTGTCCAAATTTTAATAATTACTTAATATTTTTTTCTAAAAAAAGAAAAAAGGGGTGGTATGGGGAAGTGCTCCCCTCCCTTGCCGAACGCCAAGCACAAAAGCCCAGCAAGGGAGGGGGTGGCTGGCCCAGCAGAAGCACCCCCATTGTGAGTCAGACGATGGAGAAGCCTGGTCCGGCTTTCGCAGCGGGACACTGTTCGGCACCTCCAGATGTGAGCTGCCATGTTTTAAATGCGCCACACCTTTGAGGAAGCCAGGCAGCGATCGCTGGGGCCATGGGGCAGGGGACAGTGGAAGCGTCAGGGCTGCTCCACCCCTCCTCAGCAAGCGGGTCTGGAGAAGCACAGAGAGTTGTGGGTTAAGTGCCAGAGGGTCAGAAGGCGCACTCCGATGTTGCCCCAACATGCGTTTCTAGCGCGTGCTTCTCTGTCCCGAAGTGGGATTGAATAGGGGATAGGGAGCAGGGGGAAGAAGCTTCTAGGAGAAGCCCAGCTGGCTTTACTTTTGGCTTAGGGCAGGGGGAAGACCCAATAAAAACCCAGTTTCCCCAATAATTGGGGAAAATAAGGGCCGGGCAGTCCAGAGTTCAAAAATGGGGGTGGAGTCTGTTTGTCAGAGGATCGGAGAGGAAATCAGTTGAAATCTGGGCAGGAGGCTATTCAGAGAGGGATCTCCCTGGGTCTCTTCTTCCCTCCCGCTTAGATTCCCCCCCCCGCTTTCTTCCCTACCCTCATTTTAAGGGGGAGGGGGAAGCAAGGTGGGGTAATAGTAGGTAAAAGAGTGCGAGAGGGGTTAGGGTTAGGATTTATTAAAGACGGGGATGGGGAAAAGATGCCAAGGACCTGGGAAAGTAGAATAAAATTAGGCAGGTGTGTGTGTGTGTGTGTGTGTGTGTGTGTGCGCGTGCAGGGCTGTCAAAACTCCAAAAACAGGTCAAGTATCTCTGGGGAGGCCAGTCATAAATTAGAACACTTTCTAAACAACCGGCCATTAAGTGAGGACCACTTGTTTGCCAGTCACCTGGCCACGCCCACCCAGTCATATGACCACCAAACCACACCTACCAAGTCATGTGACCAGCAAGCCACGCCAACCACATGACCAGAAAGCCACGCCCACCCAGTCACATGACCAGCAAGCCACACCCTCAAATTAGGCCACGTTCACAGAAATTTGAATCCCACCCCCACAGAAATTTGAATCTCACCCACCGCTGATCTAGATAAGTAAATAAATATTGAGAGGAACATACAAAAAGCATACCTTTGTAAGAAAAGCTTAACTAAAAACTATTCTAATTATATAACTATGTCAAGTTTAAAAATATTTTAAATATTAAGTTTTAAAAGGGATGGACCAGCAACTAGCCTCCTGCCACATTCTATTAAAAACTAAACGCTAGGGCACTCGATATCTAATTAATTAATCCGTAATGAACTGCCATTTGTGACACTATATCCCTCACTAACACTGAATGTAACATTTCACTGATAACCGTGCAATCTGGTTCCCGGTCTATCTTTAACTTCCTCGGTATGTACACAACACTAAGCAGACCGTGAGCTTAAAACTTCGTTTATGATCTAGACTAGAGGTTCGCTGATGAGATGCGGAGACATTATATATCTAACAATTAAGAGCTCACTGATGGGGGGGACACCCCGTTTTCGTTTTTAACCTAGATGTTATCTTATGAAGCATTTTTCAACAGTCAAGAATCACTCACAGGTCGGCACCATATTAACCTCTGCGCTTATGATCAGTAGCTTACCTCACGCGGTGGAGGTGCGGGAAGACAAGCCGCAGAAATCGAACTCCCCCATTGGCTACTCTCGGATGGCGCCTCCTTCCTAGGACGCAGGCGCATTTCCTTTCCTTTTTTTCTTTCTTTTTCTCTGCCGAGGCCCCTCCTTATCCTGCGTTTCCTTTCCCGCTGCCGTCCTCGGACTACGAGCTGTTGTTGTTGTCAGTACATTTCGTCGCCTGCCGTGGAACGCAGGAAGTGCGAGCGTAGTCCGTTGGACACAGAGTCTTCGGAACTTAAAAGAAAGGGGTGCGGGCCACGAGTCGCAGAGCGATCGTAGTGGCCGGTTGGCGCTTCTTCGCTAAAGAGGACGATCTGCAGTCCTCTACCCGATGTGGTTGTAGACAGTGAACACTCAAGTGGAACCTTCGCTTTCCATGCAGAGAGCGGCGGGTGGGAAGTCGAGGCCGCGACAAAAGAAAAGCCTGCCGCCGTCACCAGTACCGAGAGTAAGTTACTAAGGGCGGGGTACGAGACAAACCCAGCTTGGCCGCCTTTTTCTGAGGCCTACCGGGCAGGCGCCGGTAAAGAAAGAGCAACTATTGGGGATCGAAAACGTGAGTAATTCAGATGCTCGCCGTCATTCCCGAAGGCCGAACTCCGGGTAGTCCCGAAAACTGTAGGTACGGGTTCGTGTGTTTCTGGACACTCCTCTCGCGGTCCCCTTTTGCAGCAGATGGGCGAGGCGAGGAAATACGTAAGTGTACGAGACGCGGAGAGAGACGGAATGGAGTGGGGGCTATTTGCATGTAATTGTATGTGTCCCCGAGAGCATGCATAGTGAGTTAAAATTCGTTTATTGTTTGTAATTGTCAGCATTGCAAAAAGCAGACTTATGAATGAGGGAAAGGTGAAATTGAGTTTAACCTTTTGTCCCCTTGCCTTCGCTAGCATTTTTGTTTCCATTTTCCAATTCCCTATAATCCTAGGTACAGCATTCTTGCCCCCCACCCCCTGCCTCCAACTGCTATGCTTTCGTCCGGCTTAGGTGGCAGATAAGAAATTCATATATTCGAACTGCAGATTTATTTGGGTGATGACAGTGCAAATTATTTCTGCAAGCTGGATAGAGAGCCAGCAGGTTTGTTCAGAGTGAGCATAGCAGTCTTTATTTTTCTTGTGCACAGAGCTCTTTCCTGTGGAAGTGCTTACATAGCGTTGTCATGCCAAAAACACATTATGGCTTGATGATCTTTTTGGCAAACAGCCATTTTTCTAAACTGCATCAATTTATGTTTTATTTGACATCTTTGACACAGGCATCAGACCTGTGGAATGTCTTTGTTTATTCCATTCTATTAATATTAATTAAAGCAGATAGATGAAAGAATGTAAAATAGCTTTTTATAGTTTAAACTGTATATATTATTGATTGAAAAGAAAATTATATTAATTGGAATGTTATTAATATAAGTATTTTAATGTGCAATGTATAATTCTGTATATACCATCATCTCATTCTTTGAACATATGATTGAAATATTTCTTGAAATAAAAAATAGCTTGTAGCTTAGATTTTAAAGCTTACTTACTCTTTTACAAGTTAAAATCCATTTATTTAACAAAAGGTAATTGGATTAACTATGGTTCTCCTACAGTTGGCTAATATAGATATGAATCCTTCCAAATGATATTACACAACTGCCCTCTAGTGTAGTCATACTTACCTATATAAGATGATTTCTATGTATCATGTATGGGAAATCAGAGGAGTCAATATTTGATATGGAGAAGTGGGACAAAATATTTGGCACAGTATATATGGTCCCTGAAATAGTTAAACCTGCTTGGAAAATGATATTCTTTTAGGAATGTAAGGTTTACTCTCAGAACCAAAAAATGTAACATAACATAAACAAAATTTGTCTTTTTCCCCTTACTGCCAGCAGTAGTGATTATATTGTTTGGCCTTTCACACTGATAATTTCTCATCAAAATACACAATTTGGCTTAGCTTATTTAGATAGTATAATTAGGAAGTATATAACCTAACTGAACATAGTGTTTTTTTGCAATGTTTAATTTTCTAGAGCATGTAATGAATGTGTGTATGTATGTATATGTGTTTGTGTATAATGTGTGTATGCATATGTATGTACTGCTCTAATGAAATCTATAAACCTGAAAAGATTCTATTCATTTGCCCTTTACTATATGTAACTATAATACTAATATTTTGGATTTTTTTTGAAAAATAGTTAATTTGATACATGGTGATTGTCAAGAGCATTAACTGAAATACCTAGGTGACCAGATGATATAAAAGTACTTTTTTGTTTGTTAGATGGGATAAACATTTTAAAATTATTATTCAGTGTAAAAGATCACAATTTATTTCTCTTTTATGTAGGCTGTTATTCATAGAACACTTTATGACAAGTTTGTCTAACTTCATTTCTGGCAACATTTTCTGGATGCCATTTCAGTTGCATGCTATGCTTCTACTTCTCTTAATACATCTCTTTTTATATATCTACACAGATACCAAATAGATATAACATTTGTTTAATTGTTTTTGCTTGACAGATTATTTCATAATATTGTTTTCCCATTTTATTGTCCTGCTGTTTTAGAATAGAATTTATTTAGGTTTATTAGATTATTACAAGTATGAGACATTTTCTAAGATCTTGATTTCCCCTGAGCACTAACATAAAGCTCAGTCCTATTTAGTAAAATAGTAAATTAATACAGTATTTTATTTTTTTTCTAATAGACACAGTGTTTCACTGAAGTGGCCTCCTGTTCTTCAAACAATTTGCATATACAAGAGCATAATAACATGGTTAACATGATTTCATGGTGTTCTGTGCAGTGTTTTAATCAACTGGAAATAAAAATTTAAAAATGTAATATAGAAAAAATCACTTTCAGTGTAGATGAAAAACACTTTCAACTGAGTCAAGAGCCACAGAAAAGTATAATGGTTTTTATTATTGTAGAGATAGCACAATATTTCTAGAAAATTCCAAAATATTGGGTAAATAGGTAATCTATTCCATCTTGCTTTTAAAGAGAACATTGTTTCTACAGCTCTAGATTCTTATATTTTTAAAACATTAACAGAAGGTTCAAAATTGTAGCATTGAAAAGGTTAACTTCATTGATCATTTTGCACTAATTAATCTCCTGGCCCATGGGTGCACATCCTTTATGGGAAGTAGCTTTGGAAGAATATGTATGCAAAAAAGCCAGCTCAGGAAGGGCTTAAGCCTTAGCCAATGTCACCATCATGACCCAAGTGTACATCTTCCCTTAACCTCAATTTTATCTCTCAATGTATGCAAATCTATGTGTTGTTTCAGTATACACACATATACGTGTATATTGTTGGCATCATGGATTTCTGGTAAAACAATGTGGACTGGAATGTGCTGTGGACATCAGGCATGCAGTTCTTACCATATGCTGTGAAAAAGCATTGTTGGTTGCTTCTTTTAGCTTATTAGCTTAGAAGCATATTTAAATCTTTGACTGCTTAGAAAATTAATACATTAAATACATGGAATAGTTACGTAAATAACGAACAAAGTAATTAAAAAGAATACATATATTTGTAAAGGGATTGTGAAGTCTTGTGCTTGAGGGGCTCCTGTGCTTATAGATTCATAAGTAATTCCAATTATAAATGGACCACATTTTTTATTAATCTATGTTTTATTAATTAATGGTTCCTACAAACTCTGTAAAACAGTTTCCCTTCTTCTAGTCTACAGGTGTCAAACTTGCTGTGTCACATTGCTGTCTTGTGATGTTTTGCAATGTTTTTTCCCTTCGCGGAACTGAGGTGGGCATGGCATTACAAGCATGTTAGCATTCATAATCCATGAGAGGTCCTCCGAGATATAGTGCCCAGAAATTTAAAACTACCAACCCTCTCCACCTCCTCACCATTTATGTACAATGGTAAATGTACATCTTCCTCTTGAAGTCAATTATAAGTTCTTTAGTTTTTTTTGGTGTTAAGTGTAAGATTATTTTCCTTACACCACAGTGTCAGCCCTTGTACTTTCTTTCTATAGGCAGATTCATTGTTCTTATTAATGAGCCCCACCACTGTTGTGTCATTTGCAAATTTAGTAATTGCGTTGGTATTATACAACGGGGTGCAGTCATGTGTGTACAAAGAATAAAGGGGGTTTAGCACACAACCCTGAGGGGCTCCTGTGCTTAGTATCAGAGTAGAATGGTGAGATCCCATCCTTACTGACTGTGGCCTATCTGTCAGAACATCTTTATCCACAAACAAATCTTCTGATTTATACCCAAATTGGACATTTTAAGAAACAACCTGTTGGTTAGAATGGTATTAAAGGCAGAACTATAATCCACAAATAACAGCCTTGCATAAATTCCCTGTTGTTCCAAATGATTCAATACAGTATGGACAACAATAGGCCACCTATTAGCATCATCAGTTGATCTGTTACTCTTGTATGCAAATTGGTATGGGTCCAAAGTAGATGGAAGACTAGCCTTAATGTAGTTCAACACCAGTCTCTCAAAACATTTAATGACAACAGATGTTAAAGCTACTGATCTATAATCATTGAGAGATACCACTACTGTTTGCTTAGGGACTTTTGCTCTGTTTCTATGATTATAGAATGTCTCAAACCTAACACTGAATTAAATAATTGACTATGCTCCAAGAAATTTCAAAGCTTTACCATTTAGAATTTTCCTGGAAGTTTATCACTACAGAGAATTTCTGAAGAGCTTAACCTTCAAATTTTGTATAGGCTGATTTTTGCTGTGAGGATAAATACTTAAATTTCTCTTTGGTAGAGATAGATGTTCTTTTGTAATATGTTATATTTTTTCTTATGATAAAAAGTGTATAAAAGACAAAATCAGCAAAAGAAAAGATTGGGAATAAGAAAGAAATTGGTCCCATTCAGAGATATTATCAAAAATATCTGTGTCCCTTGGCTTCTGGGATTTCCTAAAAAGGTACAATTGAACAGATATCAAAGATAAAGCCAGACCTACTTATTCAGGAATACATTCCCATAATGTTCATGTCCTGTGTATTCACCATTGTAGATAATTGTATACAGAAGGCAAAGGTACAGGATAATAGAATTAAATATTCAGTTCCCAAATATTTTTTAAAAATAAGGAAAGTTTGTTGTAGAATTAGAACATAACCATTAGAAGTAGAATATAAAATGTATATAGTAATTACTAGGACCGTGCAACATATGCCATGATTACTAGAACTTTAGCATATTTTAGTCAATCTAAGGGAAAGTTCCTTTTTGGGTACCGAAAAGAATGAAGTGTTAAAAGCCTCCATATTGTCCTTCATACATTCAATTCAATATATAGGTATATTTAAGGCTATACCTAGTAATATTTATAGTAATATTTATAGTAATATTTATAATTTAATTTTTTAAAAGTAGCAATGCATTTTCTTTATAGTTTATGTATTTTTCCAAATGAACCTTAGGATCATAGTCTATGCATATATTCTTAATTTTCTGTGAGATTTAAACATAAAACAATTATGGTGGCTAATAAATATTTTTTATGTAGGAAATAGCAGTGAAAGAATGTGAAACTGGGTACTGGATATAGAAATGTCAGCAGATGAATCTTCTAAAATAAGAAAACTTGCAACTTGATGATCAAAGCATAACTAAGATGTTACCTTTGAAAAGTGCATTGCCAAGGTTAGTAGACTCCCAACATTCAATATAGATTTTATTTCACTGGGAAATTTGTCTTAGTTGTCACATCAATATAAAATTTTTGTACACAATTCTAATATGGATCCTCAACTGACAATGTACCATTAAAATATTTATTTTCTCCTTATACAACGACAAAAGACTTATTCCGGTTCTTTTCTAGAAAGGACAGGATTGAAGTGAGAAAAGAGATGGCCAGGTCAAGCTGTTGAGATGAATTTTTCTAATCTGGATTAGCAGGATAGTGCAATTTTGTTTTATTTTTGTTAACTTTATTTTACTTTAATAATGGTTGATAATATGCTGCACATCTTTCTTGGAAAGACCTTGGTTGTACAATTTTGACTATTATTACTTATAATCAATTTTCCATTTAAATAATAATGTTAATATATAATTTACTAGATATAAGAATTGAAATCTAAATACAATTGTCTCATAAATCAGGTTTCCTAGTAATTTGTGTATATCTCATAGTTTTTATATTATAACTCTATCATCTTTGTATATATATATATAGAGAGAGAGAGAAAGACACACACCAGACACATGCAGATGGTTGGATCTAAAGAGGGGATAATTGGAAATAAGCAAAAAGTACAATTACAGATAATCCTTGACTTACAGCTATTCATTTAGTGACAGTTTGAAGTTACAACAACACTAAAAGAAACCCATTTTTCACACTTAACATCCTTGCAGCATTCCCATGGTCACATAATCAAAATTTGAATGTTTGGCAGTTAGTTCATATTTATAATTATTGCAGTGTCCCAGGATCATATGATTATCTCTTGCAACCTTTTGACAAGCAAAGTCAATTGGGAAACTATCATTTAACAACTGTGTTACTTGCTTAACAACTGGAGCAATTCACTTAAACAATGGTGTCAAGAATGATCATAAAATGGGGCAATTTCTCTTAACTGTCTTGTTAGCCCCAGAAATTTTGGGCTCAATTATGATTGTATGTTGAGAACTATCTGTAGGTGCCTTGTTATTCTCTCCCTATACTCTATTCCTATAAAAGAGTTTTATAATATAAAAACAGATAAGTATAAAATCATGTGCTTTTGTTAGAAAATAGGTCAGATATTCATCCTGAAATTTCTGTGATACCATTTACTAATATTTTCAGCAGCTTCCTTAGGTTTCTTGCTTAATATGTTTTAAGATCAGGAAATAGGAGTCATCTGTTAAATTTTTTTGTGGAATTGTTTTTCCCCCCTCCCCTTATTTTCTTTAATTCTAAGCTACATAATTCGATGATTCAACTACTTGGAGTGTTAGATAAACTTTGTCTATGTATCTGATATTTCTAGAGTGACTAATCTAAATTATTCACATTTCTTTCAAGAAAATTCTTTTATAGTGGGTTCTTTCATAGACAAAGTCCAACTTTTATAAAAGCAGAAATGTTTTTCTAACTGTACATTCTATAATAATTTTATTTCTGATTTTTTAAGGTGCATTTGGCAGCGAAGATGAATTGTACATCTATTACAGAAATGCTTATATGAAAAGACACACATTTTAGAAAGTGTCAGCATTACTACTTGGAGAGTATGGCAGGTTTTAAACGAGGATATGATGGAAAAATTGCTGGATTGTATGATTTGGATAAAACCCTAGGCAGAGGGCATTTTGCTGTGGTGAAGCTTGCCCGACATGTATTTACAGGTGAAAAAGTGGCAGTAAAAGTAATTGACAAGACCAAATTAGATACTCTTGCCACAGGACATCTTTTCCAAGAAGTCAGATGTATGAAACTAGTGCAGCATCCTAATATTGTTCGTCTGTATGAAGTTATTGACACTCAGACCAAACTTTATTTGATCTTAGAACTTGGTGATGGAGGAGATATGTTTGATTACATCATGAAACACGAAGAAGGTCTTAATGAAGATCTGGCAAAGAAATATTTTGCTCAGATTGTTCATGCTATATCCTACTGTCATAAACTGCATGTCGTTCACAGAGACTTAAAACCAGAAAATGTTGTCTTTTTTGAAAAACAAGGACTTGTGAAATTAACTGATTTTGGATTTAGCAACAAATTTCAGCCTGGGAAAAAACTTACAACAAGTTGTGGCTCTCTTGCATATTCTGCACCTGAAATTTTACTTGGCGATGAATATGATGCACCTGCAGTAGGTAGGTTAATGAACTATTAAATAAAACTTCAATTACTATATTTTTGTGTTCAAATGAGCTATTGAAAAATTATTCTGTGTTTCCCAATTTATGTTATCTAATAACTGCAGTTTCCAGAATTCACAGCTAATAGATTAAAAATAGAATTTTGAAAGTTGCAATTCTAAGATCTTGATGATACCTTGTTATGAAAGGGTGGATTTAAATATTAGAAGCATGCATGTTAAAAGGTCTGTTCATCCTTTCATTGTATTAATCTAGTAGTAGAGGCAAGCAATCAGGTATCTTCCAGTTATTTTGGAACTGCAAATTCACTTAAGCTTCAACTAGCATGACTGGCAAATTTCAAACAGTTGCTGAGTGCAGACTATTCCTGTTATTTTGATGACTCCCAAAGTTAACTACAGAGAGTTCTCCACTTACTATCACAACTGAGTCTCAAATGTGACATATTTATTAAGAGTTTTGCTTCATTCTCCCATGAGCTGTTCAGAGCATCCAGTGATGGGAAGATGCTTCAGTCCCTTCTAGGAAGGCTGGGCTTAAACTTGAGGACACTCCTCCTCCTCCACAAGACTCCTTCTTAGCGTCCCCAGTTTTAGCTCAGCCTTTCTTCAAACAGGTTGTGTTATTGTTTTCCTGGTCGGAACAGAACACTGGCGATTTAGCTGATTTAGCTGATTCATTTCTCAGGTCAGGTAATATCATAGTTTCTGTCACCAACCACCCCCCCTGGGAACCTCCAAAAGTCATTTCCCTCGTTTTTTTTGTTTTGTTTTGTTTTTACATTCCAGCCTCCCGAGGCTAAAGCCTCATAAACAGGGAGGCTTATCTTTCCAATCTTCCCTGAGGCTAAAAGCCTCTTCTTTCAGAGACATGCTGCCTTAAACTTCTAAACAAGGAGGCTTATCTCTCAGATCTCCCAGCCGGCTGAGTAAACGCTGTGGCCCTTCTAGGTTTGAAGTTTCCATTTAAAAGTGCAGCCTTTTTTTCTTTTTATTAAGAGGCTTTTCCCACAGAGCACCTCAGGGCAGGGAATTCGCCCCTGTGCCTTTCCGCTGAGCAGTTTTGCTTTCAGCAGGCCTGGCGGTGATAGCTGCTTTCATTTTCATTCTGCCACGAGGCAGCCAGCATTTTAAAGGCCGCGTGGTTAAATTTGCTGAGTAATTGTTACTGTCTGTGAGGTAAGTTACCCAACAAGGTTTCCTTTTTGGGGGGACCTGGGAAGGAGGAGTCCCTACCACCAGTCCACTGGATGATAGAGGACTTGAACTGCTGGATTCCACAGGCAATAAGTGCAGCTAAACTGATCTAATTATCAGTTACAGACCTCTGTGCCCTCATATAGGTGCCAGGTCTGGAGGGGGGTGTTCTGGTCTCCATATTTGATATTACAAGTACTTTATTCAAAAAATTGACTTGATTGACTTAAATTCTACAAATTTTTAAGTTATTAAAATATAGATAAATAGATAACAAAGCAAAACAGAACAAGGAGACACATTTGTTAAAGGCATCGGGGAACTATTTATTCCAGGATCCCCTGCCCCTTAAGGGAGCAGGCCCCTAGGTGTTCCAGCCACCTAATTTCATAGCCTCTTTCCATTGCTAATCTATCAAAGGCATTACCATGGCCAGCAACTACAACTCCAGATCTAGACTAACTGCTAAAAATAGAGATAAGTCCACAGAACTGAAAAAGACCTCTAAGGCAGCAGAGAAAGATGCACGCAGATGCCATCAGGCATTGGAAAGGCAGGTGGAAAAATGTACACGAGTCGCTGCACAGCCCACCTCTTCACTCATCATACCCTCTACCTCACAGGCCCAGAACCCTCCAACCGCCACTCTGGATTTATCCAGAAGGAGCAGCATATTGATACAACTTCCCCAGGAGGCTCTTTCTAACATTCTCTCCCCAAGGAGGGCCCCAGAGGCAACATTTACGCCAACTGCAGCTGGCCTCAGACAAGAGGAGGAACTTCCGGAAGAAATCCCTGCCAACATGAGGGCGTGGCTGGAGCTAGCTATCCAGAAGGGCATAGCAGCAGGAGTCCAACAGGCTATTCAGGCAGGATGAACACACTCAGCTTCGGGTTGCAGATCTCTTTCTGAACGATCTCTGGGCATCACAGATCCACATCTTCATCAGGTACCCCCCCGCAGAACTATCATTGCCCATTGTCAGAGACCCTTAGTACACACAGGATATGGGAGATCAAGGGGATCCAATGGATCAAATGGAGGAGGGGTCGGTACACACCGTTGACCAGGTATTGTCAGAGGTGGATCCGCTAGAAAGGGGGATGTCTGACGATGAAGGCCTCTCATCTGACCTCCCCGTATTTACAGGATTATTCTGCCCACAATTATTTAAATCCCTACTGTTTAAGGCCAAGAACACCGCACGACTGGATAATACGGGTACCCCTCCCCCACCAAATACTCCAGGGGAAGCAGAGGTTATCTCTGTACCACACATGTTTTCCAATTTAGTACAAAAACAATGGGCTGCAGCAGCCTCATATCCCGCTCCCACAGGACATGATAAAAAATACTATAATTGGGCACCCAAGTCCTCTAAATTTCTAAACACTCCGGAAGTGGATGAGCCTATCATTGCGCTTGCATCTTCCTCAGCCATCCCAAGTGAAGCTGAAGAGGCTCTCAAGCCTGAGGAAAAGAGGGCGGAACTAGCCCTCCGCAGGGCACACGTCTCGGATGCATGGGCCATCAGAGCGGCCACAGCCGCCTCCTTTTTCACCAGATCATTTCTCAGATGCCTCTGCCACCCGAGGGATACCATTTCAGCCTCAAACATTAGGGCACATCAAGATGTGACTAAATTAATTGCAGCTACAGAGTTTTCGGCAGACGCTACCTTCAATGTAGTTAAATTTTCCTCTAGGGCCATTGCTTCCCAAATTGCAGCTAGAAGGTTACTTTGGCTCAGGCATTGGCAGGCAGACGTCAAGCACAAGTGGAGCCTTGCCTCAGCTCCCATCTCGGAGAACAAACTATTTGGCAGTGCGCTTGAACCCCTCCTAATTGAAACCAGAACCCAAAAGAGAATTCTTCTCTCTCTTTTTCATCGATCAGAGTCCAGATTACCACAGCCCTTTCGTAGGGGTTCCTTTTGCCCCTTCTACCAACCCTGCTATCCAAGATTTCAAAGACAGCCTGGATTCAGTCAACAGACAGATAGAATTGAACCTGGGGACAGATATAGAAGGGGACTCCATCCTAGGAGACAATTTCAAGGAACAGGATCTAGGCCCTTCCGCAGGTCCAAGTAACGACCACAACGAGATTCCCATTGGCGGTTGCCTAAAAAGGTTTGCCGACCAATGGGACTCCTCTACCACTGACGCATGGGTCAGGAACACAGTACGATTTGGTCTGGCACTGGAGTTCAGCTCCACCCTCCCGGATTTTTTTATGAAGTTCCCAATTTCTAGGGACGCAAAAAAAAAAAAGGTTTCTCATGGACACAGCCATAGCACATCTACTAGAGATCCAGGCCATACAACCTGTCCCTTCTAATCAAAATGGTCTCGGTTTTTATTCGCACCTCTTCATGATCCCTAAAAGTTCAGAGGGATGGAGGGCAATACTGGGCTTAAAACATCTAAACCAATAATTGGTTTACTGAAAATTTAAAATGACCACTCTCCAATCCATCTTACTCAGCATCAGAAAACAAAAACGATGTCCTTACCTCCATAGATCTCACGGAAGCTTACTTACATATCCCAATTAAGCCCTCACATTTCAAATTCCGTCGTTTCTGTTACAACAACGTCCATTACGAATATATTGCTCTCCCATTTGGCCTAGCTTCAGCTCCCAGAACTTTTACAAAGGTCTTGGCTGCCTTGGCAGCATCACTCAGAGATAGGTCCATTCAACTTCAATGCTACTTGAATGACATTCTTATTCTGGCATCTTCCATCAATCAAGCAAATTCAAACACTCAAACTACACTTGTAACCCTACAACAACATGGGTTCTCAATCAATTCATCAAAAAGTCATTTAACACCCTCTACTAGACTCATTCACCTTGGCGCCATCATTGACACCCTGGAAGGCAAAGTTTTCCTCTCCCCTGACAGACAAGAAAGCATCAGTGATTTGGTTCAACAGATCAGAACTCTTAGGAAAGTACACCTATGTCTCATTTCTAAATTGCTCAGAAAAAATGATTTCTTGTATTTCTATTATCCCTGGGGCCCGGTTCCATGCAAGAACCCTGCAATGGTTCCTGTTGCCATACCAACACGCCGGGAGAGACAATGCCAGGACTTGCATAAAAGTTCCATCAACCGTTCTCAGGTCTCTACGATGGTGGACACGATCCAAAATCAACAAGGGATGCCCTTTCAAGGATCTACACAGGTCGATCGTTACAACAGACGCCAGTCTAGTGGGATGGGGGCCCCACTTCCAATCACATACAGCGCAAGGCCTTTGGACGGATTCAGAGAAGGCACACAATATCAACTGACTAGAACTAAGAGCGGTGTACTTGGCACTTCGACACTTCCTCCCGCATCTCCATTGCAAACGTGCTCGTCTTAACATACAACATAACTACAAAGGCCCATAACAACAAACAAGGGGGCACTCATTCCAATCTACTAATGAGGGAAGCAGAAAGACTATCCCTGTGGGCCAAAATCCATCTTCTCTCTCTAAAGGCCGAGCACATATCTGGAGTAGTGAATGTATAAGCGGATTGGCTCAACAGAGCCACGTTGGACCAATCAGAGTGGCGTCTGAACCCCAAGATCTTTCTGGAGGCTACTCAGAGGTTGGGCCAACCGGTAGTCAATCTGTTTGCCTCCCCACTCAAAGCACAGCTTCTCCGATTCATTTCTCGTTACCCATCGCAGGGAGCGGAGGACGTGAATGCCCTCAGATGTCACTAGCCCACCAGACTGCTATGCGCCTTTCCTCCCCTACCGTGATCCCCAAATTGATTCAGAAGTTGCTGGAAGA